TTTCATTTTTCCCGCCATGTCCTGTCGTTTGGTTCGGTTTGAAGATAGATATTTATACAATCGATGTGTGTGATGTATAAATAGTACAAATTTTTCGATCCCATAAATAATATATCATCTTACTTGTTTTGTTTCTGGTAACTACACATTTAGCCAATTCAAATTTCTACAACTTGTCTCCCAACAAGATAACGCTACATTCCATCAATTATCTCATCAAATTACTCATCCAAAATATATGTACCAGTGTGAAGTCTTAAGGGTCGTGTTTGGTAAAGTTTTCGATTCCTGTTTATTGTTTTTCGAATAAAACTATTTGGTAATTGTTTTTTTATTTTTGTTTTTCGTCTTTGAGAACGGTTTACAAAAAGTGTGAACAAATTTTGGAATTAACAAAACTATTTTTTTTTATTTTGTTACTGTTGGTTTTTTTTCTTTTCGAGAAGTAGATATAAAAATATTATTTTATCATTTTTTACTTATAAAATATATAATAAATATCAAATATTAAACGTAATATAAATTTTGAGTATTTAATTTAAAAATGAATTTTTATATAAAACAAAATTTAAAATTTTGGAAAACAAGAAATAAGAAATGGTTCTCTAAGGTATTTTTATTTTCTTTTTAATTTTTAATAAAAGAAAGAACATTTAGTAAACCTAAAGAACAAGAAACATGTAGTAAACCTAATTATATTTTTTTTAATTGGAAAAGAAGAAACAAGAAATAGGAAACAAGACAATAACCATGAACATTACCAGACAAGTCATAAACTTTCAATTTATAAATTAATTATAAAAAAGGTAAACAATATGAATATGTTAATGATTTCGGTTGTACTCAAGGTTCTACATGTCAATATTGATAAAAATGTCGAAGTTTCTATTTTTCGAAAATGTTTATAGAAATATTGATAAAATGTCATATCGATAAATATTTCTGAAAATGTATACAAATACTTAAATTAATAAATAAGCATGTCACTATTTTTAGAATAAGTAAAAGTTATTAATATTAATATTATCTTATTGATATTTTTTATATTTTGTTAAATTTTTATGTATTATTACGAAAATGTCGATTCACTCCTCACGTCGATGTCAAATTCATGAGCATATAGGAATATAGATGAAAATGTCAACGGAAGCTTAATACCTAACCGTACTCAAGTTGGATACTCAAAAAGTAATGATATTGAATGAAAATTGGTGGTATGAAATTTGAAATTGTTATTTGTATGAGATAACGCATTCTATATATTATATTTACAACACCGTATTCAATGAGAAAATATATCTAGAGTTTTCTGAAAAAGGAAAAAAGAAAGAAAATATATCTAGAGAAATTTTTTAAAATTTTACTAGTATCTAAACTTTATTTTAAAAATCAGTTGTGCACATGTTAACTTCTTATAAGTTATTACTTATAAAAAAAAAAGGAAAAAAAAGAAAAAGAACTTCATGAAAGCATGATTTTTGTTCAATTAATTTGTGTATATTTTAAAATAATTATTAGAACTACAACTAGCTTAGAAAACAAGTGGAACAATCATGAAAATTTAAGAATGAAAATAATATTTAAACCTACAAAATTTAACTTATGACTTGCACACTTTATTAATTTAAGGTAGATATTAAACATTATTAAAATTCTCATTAATATAAAGTAGTATTTTAAATGTTTTTTACAAATTCTTTATTCAATTTCATTAAGTTTTTTTAGTACAACGAATATAAGGCAGATGATTGAATTCTTAACATCAAAGAAGATAATTAATATATTACTCGGTAAAATTAAAACTTTTAAAATACATATTTAACATAAATTTGAAAAATAGTATAGAAATTATTTTTTTAGCCTAGATAAGAAAAACTTCTAGCAAAATTATTTTCTGTGTAATAAAACGGGTAAGGATAGTTATAATTATATGTTTAAGAAGATATATATTTATGCGGTTGAAAATGCTTAGCATTTTTATAATATTCTTTAAATTTGGTACTTCAAATCTTATTGATAGAGTGAGATGATGGAAGAGATTATCTTCCATTCATTAATAATTGTTCAACTGCTTTCCACCATGCAAAATGACTTTTTCCTTTCCTAATATAATAAATCAACATTTAGTTATAAATAAGAAATATTTCACAAAATTTAAAATCCCAAGGGATAAAAAATGAATCCAACTATATATGTATATATATTCAACTTTATCTTTTTATAGTTCAATAGGAATTCGAAATTTTTACTTTTTTTTATATGGAAGATGTATGTGTTAAATAGTTGAGTTAATTAGAAAATAAAGATATTAATCAGAAGCATCACACCCTAATCAATAAGCGAGAGATCGACGAAGAAACTCGATCGACTACGTTAGACGAGCAAGAGTCAAAGACGCACTCGACGAGCAGACGAGGGACGACTGGTTGAAGCTAGCCCTGTCGCCTCCACCCAAACAAAAAAGGTGAGCGTCGGGAGAGAAAAGTTGCTTGCTTTACTAAATAAGAGTTGGCGTGTTAGCGCTTTTGTTTTCAATAAGGGGTAGAGCTTGAAGAAGCGGTCCCACTAAGAATTCTAGGAAAGATTTTAAATAATAAATAATAATTTGAAAAATCCATTCTAATCCCGAATGTGAGCTTCCTTGTTGTATGGAAATCAATAAATTTTTAATCTATACCATACCATAAAAAAAAAAAAGATAACAAGCCAGAGCATAAAATTTTAAATAAATGTCTAAAATATAAATATATCACTCAAACAAATGTTCTGAAGTCATCCAGTCAAGAAACGTTGGATTCGCCCATTACAACAAAATTTCATACATACATACTGCTAAAGATAATTATCGAAAATGTTGATGCAAGATTTCGAAAATAGATATTGAGATTTGATCCGCAGTGGAGCTTAGCAAATTAAGGTGTAACGCTAGCATAGAAACCTTATATTGAGGTGATACTTTATCTGAATTAGTATTTAGATTGAGAGGGTATCGAACTCAACAGTGATTTTGTTGCAAAATTATTTCCTTGCAAGTTGGGATTGGTCCAACCTGGTGCCAAATGTATTTAGTTAATATCTCTGTTGATAGATATTTTCCTACCCACAACATAAAAACATGGAGTTGGAGGTGATTTCTCATTGACCACGTGGCAACCACAGAGAGGATAATATTGGTTATTCAACATGAAGATACCATTAGTACATTCACCAATTAGGTCAAGTCGACCTATTTAGCAACTCGGTCACCTAAAATATAAGCTGAGCCAATCAGACATCGTTCATATAGACTGCCTGATCTACCAGACCTGCCGATCAAAGGACACTCCATCAGGATTGGCTCTCCAACACATTCCATGACAATGCACCGTAATTCTCGTAACCTTAAAGAGTCGTTGAGGACTTGTGAATGTCCTATCAGAAGCTCTGCCTATAAATAGAGGCCTCTCACTTCATTTTCGGGTACGCGAAACTATATTATCTCTCAGACATAGCTCAATCACACATTGACTTCAACGTCGGTAGGATTTTCTCTTTTGTAGGTCTCTTACCTGACAATTCCTTAGTTCACCAGTTGAGCCAGTATCTATCTGAGTCGAACTTCGCAAACTTGATCAGAATCCTCATCAAACACCTAATATAAATCACTTTAATAAAAGCTAAAAAAAGACAATGACATTATCCAAAACTTTAACATCCTCCACCGTCAACAAAATTTTCATGCATGAGTAGAAGTTCTCACATCTCTTAACAAAAAAGTAATTTAAAAATGTCATAATTTAGAAATGCATACTTATTTTTGCAGCTTTTAAGTAAATGCCTAAAAAAATGAAATTCGTCGAGCTTACATATACTCATTCTTTTGAAGTCGGAGGTTGGATCTACCATTTCCCCGAATCGTTGGGCTAAAAAAGAAAAAAACAGAACCTATCCTAATTAATAATTAACCATTAAAAACGAAACTTAAACTTGACTCTGACATGATAGTCATCAGACAAAATCCTGATTAAGAACATTTAATTAAAACATTAGGACTATTTTCAAGGCAGGAATTGTGAGTGTACCACATCAAATCCTGCTGACGAATCCTATGATCTTCCTTCACTCCCTTTGTATAAAATCCCACCCTCTAAACTGTTCTTCACATCACACACTCTCCCTTTCACTCCACGCACCTCCAATGCTTCGCTCTTCCCATTTTCTTCTCCTTCTTTCTCTCCTCCTTCTCTGCCACAATGGAGCACAATCCAAATCCTCTTCTGCTCCCTCCAAGATTGGCCATGGCTACCGCTTAATCTCCGTTGAAGAAACCCCAGATGGCGCCCTCTTGGGTCGCCTCCAAGTCAAGCAGCCCAACAAAATCTACGGCCCCGACATCCCTTACTTGCAGCTCTTCGTCAAGTATGTTCCATCTCATTTCTCTAATTTCCCCTGTTTCTGCATTTGCTTGGTTCTCCTGATTTTCGATTTCGTTTGCAAGGCACGAGACGAACGACCGGTTGAGGGTTCACATCACCGACGCCGAGAAGCAGAGATGGGAGGTGCCGTACAACCTCCTCCCCCGGGAGCAACCGCCGGCGGCGAGGCAGACCATCGGAATAAAATCGAGCAACAACTCCATCGCAGGATCCGAGTACACCGGCAGCAACCTGATCTTCAGCTACACATCGGACCCATTTTCGTTCGCAGTGAAAAGGAAATCGAACGGCGAAACCCTCTTCGATTCGAGCGCTTCCGATTCAGACCCATACAGCGGATTGGTGTTCAAAGACCAATATCTGGAGATCTCGACGAAACTGCCAGCGGAGGCTTCGCTGTACGGGCTGGGGGAGAACACGCAGCCGCACGGGATAAAGCTGTACCCGAACGACCCTTACACTTTGTTCACGACGGATGTCTCGGCGATTAATCTGAATACGGACCTGTACGGGTCGCACCCGGTGTACATGGACCTGAGGAACGCCGGCGGGAGGGGCTCGGCGCATGCGGTGCTGCTGCTCAACAGCAATGGGATGGATGTGTTCTACAGAGGGGATTCTCTGACGTATAAGGTTATTGGGGGAGTTTTGGATTTCTACTTCTTTGCTGGGCCTTCGCCGCTTGATGTTGTCCAACAGTACACTTCCCTCATCGGAAAACCAGCTCCCATGCCTTACTGGGCATTCGGTATGATTCCTCCATTTCTTGTCTCTCTGATGGAAGTATTTGGTTAATATGTGATTTCCATTAGAACAGAGTGGCTTGACTAAGATTTCTTATCTGCAACAGTTTGAATCTGATTTTGTTCCTTAGATGACTTTTAATTTTGTGTCTATACATACATGAATTTAGAGTAATGTCTTGTAAGTTAGGGATCTATTCAATGCATGATTATAAGTTTAGGGTCATTTTAGATACAAAATTAAAAGTTTAAGAGCTTATTAGATACGTTTTGAAGTTTTTAGGATCCTCGATATTCATGGGTGAACTTGTAATTTGACATTCACATTTTTTGTGTTTTGTTTTTGTGGTTCTAAACTTTGAAAGGTGCTTTAAAAAGAACTATTTAATTTTTTTTATTGCTTAACAAAAACCTAAATTTAGTTTGGTGGCTGAATAAATGAATGAAAAGTTGTTGACTACATAAATGAATAAAAAGTTGTGGTTAGTCAAGTTTTCCTTAGATAATTTAATAAAAATTAAATGCAAAGGCTAATATCATCTTTTATGCCAAGTAAAAAAATTCTAAAAGTTTAGATACTTTAAACTATGTTTTAGGAAAGGGAAAATATTTAGCTACTTATTAGTCAAGACATATCTCTATCCTTTTCACCACTGCAAAATTGACCGTTCATTATTTAAAAAAAAAAAAAGGCTTGTTTTTACATTGTCAAATATTGGACAAGATAGGTCAACAGGTAAGGAGTCAAGTATTTTACTGAGTAAAAAATAAAAATTTACTTTTTTTTTTAAGTTTATGAGGAACTACTTTCTGGGAGATAAAGGAATGCATCATGAACCAATTTTCTTCCTTATATCAAGGAAAACGGTTGGTTTGCCAATTTATGTTTCTGCCTTACTCGCAGAATCATTGCGCAAACTGGCCTCTTATGTTTCTTACTTCAGTAATTTCATTTATTGGACCCATTATGAGGGAAACAAAATTCTCTCTCTCCCTCTCTCTCTCTATTAATTGTGGGGGAGTAAACAGTCTAATACTAGAATTCTTGGTTATTTTTATTGGTTTTTTTGAAAAATACTTCTTTATTCTACAATACAATGATTTGGAATCCTTGCTCCAAATATAGGACTGGAATTATCATTTCTTGAAATATTATGTAATCTGACTATAGGTCACAATCCTGTATGAATCGTATCTTTGACCCATAAACTGAAGTTGCATAAATTAACTTCCCTAATAAGGAATTCTGAGTCCCAGATCTCGATAGCGCGTTCGGTTAACTGTGATTACTGCTGATATTTGCTCCCCCTTTTTCTTGGGCGAGGAAGTGAGATATCTTTATTCCTTCTATAATGCTAGGTAGGTGTTGGGTGGTCCCTTTACTGTCCTAGGCTTTTCAAGTGTATTCAAGTCCCATTTACTTATTTTGCCTTTAGAATCAACTTCTAGATCTAAAGGATATTATATTTTATGGTAAACTATCTTTTTTCTTTTTCTTTTTTTTTTCTCTCTTAGAGGCCATATGTATCTACATGATTTTGCCTTTGCTCTGTTTTATAATTTGCTTCTGCAAAAAAGATCTCTCTTTTTTCCCCCTATGCATAGTGTCTGCAAACTGTGGACCCAAATCAATTATTGATATATTCATAACTTCACTGCCATTCTATATTTGATTATTTGTAAATCTGACTCTTCATTATCATTATGTCACTCCCCCACCAAAAAAAGATTGAAGGCCCATTAAAGTGATATTTTAGACTCTACTTTAAAAATATTGCACTAGTATTGTTCATGTTTTTATCCATTTACATGCCTCTGTTTACTACTTTAACCTTTAAAGCTCTGCATTAAATCAAACTTGAAATGAAATTTGATCTCTTGGTGTGCAGGATTTCACCAATGTAGATGGGGTTACCATAACCTATCTGTTGTTGAAGATGTTGTTGAGAACTATCAGAAGGCAGAAATTCCCCTCGACGTTATTTGGAACGACGATGATCACATGGATGCACACAAGGATTTCACTCTCAATCCCGTTAATTATCCACGTCCAAAGCTTCTAGCTTTCTTGGATAGGATACATAGCATAGGCATGAAATACATTGTTATTATTGACCCCGGCATTTCTGTTAATTCCAGTTATGGTGTGCATCAAAGGGGCATGGCAAACGACGTTTTCATCAAGTACGAGGGCGAACCATACTTGGCTCAAGTCTGGCCCGGTGCTGTGAACTTCCCCGATTTTCTAAACCCCAAAACTGTTGAGTGGTGGGGTGATGAGGTTCGCCGCTTCCATGAACTTGTCCCTGTTGATGGCCTTTGGATTGATATGAATGAAGCCTCAAACTTCTGTTCAGGATTGTGCAAAATCCCGAAAGGCAAGATATGTCCAAGTGGAACGGGACCTGGTTGGATTTGCTGCTTGGACTGCAAGAACATTACAAAAACAAGATGGGACGATCCACCTTACAAGATAAATGCTTCAGGTTTGCAGGTGCCAATAGGCTTCAAGACCATTGCAACCAGTGCAGTTCACTACAATGGCGTTCTCGAGTATGACGCTCACAGTCTCTATGGGTTCTCTCAATCCATTGCGACACACAAGGCCCTTCTCGGCCTTGAGGGCAAGAGGCCTTTTATCCTTTCCCGTGCCACGTTTGTTGGTTCGGGCAAATATGCTGCTCATTGGACTGGTGATAACAAGGGGACATGGGATGACTTGAAGTACTCTATTTCTACCATGCTTAATTTTGGTATCTTTGGAGTGCCAATGGTTGGTTCTGATATTTGTGGGTTCTATCCAGCACCCACAGAAGAACTCTGCAACCGTTGGATCGAACTCGGTGCCTTCTATCCATTCTCGAGGGATCATGCCAATTACTATTCCCCAAGACAAGAGCTTTATCAGTGGGAATCGGTTGCTAAATCTGCTCGAAATGCACTCGGGATGAGGTATAAGCTGCTGCCTTATCTTTATACATTGAACTATGAAGCTCATATTACTGGAGTGCCAATTGCTCGGCCGCTGTTCTTCTCATTCCCAGATCTTAAGGAGTCTTATAATGTGAGCACTCAATTTTTGCTTGGGAGCAGTGTTTTGGTATCCCCTGTTCTTGACAAGGCAAAGACAAAAGTCAATGCATTCTTTCCCCCAGGCACTTGGTACAGCTTGTTTGATATGAGTCAAACCATAGTATTAAAAGAAGCTCAGTATCTATCTCTTCCTGCACCATTGAATGTTATTAATGTGCATTTGTATCAAAATACCATTCTACCGATGCAGCGGGGCGGATTGATTTCTAAGGAAGCTAGGAAAACTCCCTTCACCCTGATCGTTGCCTTCCCTGCCGATGAAAGTGACGGAGAGGCCAAGGGTAAGCTGTTCCTCGACGACGATGAGCGTCCCGAGATTCAACTTGGGGATGGTCTCTCTACGTACATCGAACTTTATGCAACTGTCAGCCAGGGGAGTGTTAAAGTATGGTCTGCAGTTCAAGAAAGCAAATTTGCTCTGGAAAAGGGTTTGATTGTTGAGAAACTTGTTGTGTTGGGGTTAGATGCAAGCAAGCAAGCAAGCGCCCTCGCAATCAATGGAAATGCCATAGCGGGTGGTTCCGGTGTGGAGTTTTATGCATCGGAACAAAGTTTGTTCCGTCAAGAAAAACTAGAAGATGGAGGGGACAAGAGGAAAACTGCCATGGTAGAGGTCAAGGGATTGACATTGCCTGTTGGTAAGAACTTTGAAATCTCCTGGAAAATGGGATAGAAAGTAGAGAGGTAGAAGAAATTCTCTACTCTAGATTGTCTGCCTCAGCAGTTCTTTTTTTTTTTCTTTTTCTTTTTTCACATTCCCCTTCCCCCCTTTGTTTTAAATTGGTTGGTGGCTTCTGATTTTATTTTTCCTTTTGCTTTGATGGAAAAGAGATGAGCCAAATCATATCTTCATCCTTGTCCATGGGAACAAACCTTGTACTTTGTGTTCATCGTTGATGTAGTTTGAGAATAAAGAAAGTTCCAATCATTTTTAGGGCTGAAATTCATTTATAAACTTCCCCAACCCCAAAGAAGAAGAAGAAAAAACAAAGTTAAAGGTCAAATGTTTGGTTTAGAATAAATAATCATCAACTCAACAATGTCAAAATTAGGATGCTGGAAAGAATTTGAAAAGCAAAGTTATGATTTTTAGCACCAAGGGTAGTAGGGGCCACGATGGGATTGCAACTTGAAGAGATTTGGAGAAATCAACATTGATTTTCTTGGTATTAGATAGTTCATCATACCAGTTCGACGTATTATTGCATATCATAAATATATTAGAAAATTTTTCGGTTTGAGTTGGATTTATTTTTCTCTAGAACCAAAAAATCGGCCGGATTTGCAATTTGGGAATTTTTTTTGGTCATTTCAACGATGCTAATGTACGAATCGTCACGAGTAATAAAGTAGTGAGTAAATTATCATCTTCAGAAGGATTGTTAATTATTAGGTAATTACCAACTAAATTCAACCTTAATCTATTTGATTGATCGATAAAGAAAGGTGTGAATAAATTAGAAAGAAAAGTAAATTAAAACAAATAAAGAAAGAGCTTTTCTAAAAGTAAATTAAAACAAATAAAAAAAAGCTTAGGCTCTGACTTCACCTTACTAATTTGTCTTGCGTTCTTTTTATGTTGATAGTGAATTATGTCTTATTTGTCACTAATAAATTCTTACATCTCTACGAAATTTTGAACATATCAAAAGCATTGAGTGCGGGAGATTCATTCATATTTTGCCACGTGTCATTCAATCAATTGTTAGATGTCCACATCACAAATATGTCTCTTGATGCCAGGTGATTCGCCAAGCTGGATGTTGGTTAGATACCACGTCAGCATGACTGTCATCTTTTTTAGTGATCTACTTGTTCACATCCTCAAAACACCTAAGATTTTTTTCCAAATCTTGTTTTGGTTCTAACTTCTTTTTTGAACTCTAATTTGAATCATTCAAATGCATTGAATTCGTCTTTCCAACTCTATGTTATAGATACTTTAAATACTAAGATTATTAGTAGATAAAGTTTGTTATCATTAAATATATAGTATGATCGAAGCTCGTAAAGCTAAAGCTAGTTAAGACTGAAACTCATCCCTTATTTCTAAGATTGAAACTCCCACCTTAGTGTTAGAAGTGCAAATAAAATCTCACGTTAATTAGAGAAATTAAAAGAAATATCCATAATATATAAGTGAAGACAAATACTTTTATTAGTAACGACACATTTTGAGTGAAACCAAAAGTAAAGTTATAAGCATTTATGTTCAATGTAGACAATATCGTACCATTGCAAAGATGTACGAAAGTTCATTGTTTTTAACAAATAACAAATGCTTGAGCAATTTTGTTTTCCCTCTTCAAATATGATTGAAAATAATTCCACATCCAAAGCTTCAACAAAGTTGATTTGCCTCCCCAATGAACTAATAAATCTCAACCTTGTTCATTCTTCAAACCACTTCTATTGACTTAGTTGATTTTTTTTAGTACAATTAGTTGAAGTTGAAAATTCTTAAAACTTTATTTTTCTTCGAGTCCAATGAGAAGGGAGTATTCCTATGGAGGTTAGTACTATTTTCTTCGTTGAGCTGTACTTGTTAAACTACCACTGCTAAAAGTTTAACAAATGAATTGCAATAAATTTAATCTTTTATCCATACTTTAGTACTTCTCCTTTATTTGTGTATTTGAAAATTTACTAAAAATCTCATGCTCTAATACTATATTAAACTACCAAAAAAATCAATCAATTAAATATTTTATCAATATTTTAAAATGCACATATATGCAAAATTCTTAGTCTCAACATATATATATTTTATGAT